GCCACGGGCTGTGCTGTGTTGGCCCATGGACTTGGAATGGACCCAATACGGCCCTGGCAATCATGTCGGGCCTAGCACAACCCATGTTCCATCATGTCTTACCGTGCTGGACCAATCCAAATTTGGGCCAAGCCGTGCCAGGCCACGAGTGGTACAACCCGATTTACACCTCTAAGCTCTAGTAAACATATAGGAAGAAAGAATCCAAAATTAAAAAAAAAAAAAGAGTAAATTATAGATTACTACCCTATACTTTTGGGGTAGTGACACTTAGCATCCCAAACTCCCAAACTTTCCTTTGAGAGAAAGATGGAAAGACCCTCTGAATTTTCAAATTCCAACACTCTGCCTCCTTCATTATCTTTCTGTCACTTACCTTTGAAAAAGATTTTAATTTAATTGTCATGTGGTTGTTAAATATTTCCAAATTCCCAAACTATCCTTTTCCTAATTTGCGGGACCATTTTTCCCTTTCTCGTACCTAAATCCTCTATACTTATGTTTCCTTCTTCTTTCTTCCCGTGAGTGTTTCATTCAATTAGGCTACGTTTGGTTTGTGGGATGGGGATGAGAAAAAGAGAATATTTCAAAAATATTCCCTTTTCTCTTATTTGGTTTGAGGGAAATAGAGGGATGGGATGAGAAAAATGTGGAATGTCAGATCCTAGAATTGTGGATTTGGGGTCGCATCAAAACCATGCGGCCCCGGTAGAAAAAGTTAAGAAAGCATTGTTACCATCGAACTAAAGAGAGAAAGAACTGAGAAAGAGAGGGAGAAAATCTGAGAGAGAGAGAGAGAGAGAGAGAGAGAGAGAGAGAGAGATTGAGATAGAAAGGGAGAAAGTCCAAAGAGAGAGAGCATAAGAGGGGGAGGGCTCCGGTGGTTTCCTTTTGAAAGGTTGTGCTGGGAGTAGAGAGAGACTCTCAGGTAGGGACTAGGGTCTCTCAGTTCAGGCGAGAGAAGAGACGATTAGAGAGAGAAAGAGGGATTGTGCTAAAGGGAGGTTTTCATTGTCTTCAACCTGGCAGCAACCGCAGAGTCCGACGGAGGGTGGTGAGATCGGATTTCCTAGACCGCACTTCAAGCCTCTCTCTCGTTGCTGCAGCTAGTTGTAATGGCAAAGACAATCAACAGAGGATTAACGAACTGTTGCAGCTAGTTCAAGCCTCTCTCTCATTGTTTCACCAAAGGCTCTGGGACTCTGGTGTATTTCTTCCCTCGCTGCTGACAGAGACATTCGATAGAGGACTAACGAACGGAGAAGAAGATGGAGGGAGATGATGAACAGTGCTACCTGTTAGTCCTACTGTCTCCAGCGGCACTGTCCGAAGGTAGGAGACGATGAACAGAGTTTTTCCCATTATTTTCCCATATATAAAATCAAACAATGGAAATGTAAATTTTTACACTTTCCCATCCCATCTCATCCCACCCAAATTTTCCCACAAACCAAGTGGAGCGTTAAAATTTAAAAGCAAAGTGGGTGCCACCCCAAAGTAAATGGTGGCTATTTATAATTTACGCAAAAAAATCCAAAATTTATTATATTCTAGTACTAAAATATAATAGGTCAAATATCAGATCAAATTTATTGAGGATGCCAAGGTAGTAATAAATGTAAGTATCTTGTAATACATGAAAACCTTCAAAAAGGTAAACCCAACTATCTAGTGAATCATTAATGAGGAAGTTTTTGGTGAAAGCTTAGCATAGAAATCTCCATCTTCACATGGCACACGTGAAGGGAGCGAACGCCATAGAGCTGTTGCATTAAGTTAGACTACAGGACTGTGCTGCTGTATTATGTATAGCTCTATACTGTTCCTAGCAAATGTGAGCTCATGCATACTAGCCTGTCAGGTTATTAGGTGTGAGCTGATGAATCTTTTTTTTTCCTTTATTTTATTGTTTATTTGAACTCCTCTAATTAAGCTTGCACCAAGTGGAGAGGATCCACCTTAAGGGCCTGTTTGAGAAGGAGTGGAAGATTCTGCTAAACTGGTTCAACTACTTTGAAGTGCTTCAAAAAAAGACTGAAATGGGAATTCCTTCAAATTGACTCACTGACATCCAAAGTGTAAGGCCCACCTTGGAAAGATAGAAGTCACTGAGTTTCAGCCCTCCAGGGCACTAAGGGTCTGTTTGGTTCGTGGGACTAGAGGTTTGGAATAGAATTCCAATGTTTGATTGGGTGGAATCAGAATCCCATTTCATTCCTAGTGGAATGGCATTTCCCTCATTTGAGGGAATGACCATTCTCTCTCCATCCCTTGAGAATAAACTCATTTCAGTTGATTTCAATTTCGATTCTGATTTCTATTTGAACCAAACAGACTATTAAAATAGACCATTCGGATTTTGATTCCCATTCCAATTCCCATTATAAACCGAACAGACTCTAAAATTTTATCGAAATAATCTCAAAAACTTATTACATCTAAGTGGGGATGCATGGAGATAGAATAGCCAAAGCCCCACTAACCCAAATGATAAGAAGATACAAAACCTCTCTCTAGGGTTAGAGATGTCCTATCATCGTCATGTTGCCTCTGGCTGCCCTTGCTAGTTCCATTTCGGGGAAATATATTTTTTCTGATGCTGCATATCCGGACAAGGTTGCTAGAGCCTGTGATCTTGTTTCTTTCTCCACCTCATGCATAATTCAGATGCTTATTGGGGGCCCTCACCTACTTCAAGATGTTTGGAGAGTTGCATAAAAACAAGCTTCTAAATATCGATAGTCCGATACACTGGTTGGGGCATATCGGACTGTGGGTCACTGTGTATTGGTGACCCACCGATACGATACATATGGACCTGTCTAATTCCCAAAAGAGGTCAAAATCTGATTATTTCGTGTAATGGTGACCCACCGACACAATACATATGGACCGGTGGTTCTTCCCACCCGTGTTATCATGATTTGCTTTCACACCTCCCATGTTTCAAAACCTTACTCCATGATAACACCGGTGATGTTGTTCTGACATCCAATGAGTAAAGAAACATCTGACTCTATAGCCTTTCATGATAACTGATAGCACCTCCCATGTTTCAAAACCTTAATCACTTGTTGGAGGATAACTTTACCCCTCCATGGAGTATTTATACTCTTCTTATGTAGAAGTAAGGGAATCCTTGCCCACCTTTCTGACTACTCAGTGAGTCGAGATCTTCTATCAACAAAACACCTTCTAACCCCCTACCAACTTGATCTAACACCGTACATTTCACTATAAGATTGGGACCCATCATAAAAGTGTGACCCACCATGTATGAGATGTACGGTGTGAGATCATATTGGTAGAGGGTTGGAACGTGTTTTGTTGGCAGGTGATCCGGATTCCCTCAATGTTTCTGTCAATAAAGTAAAATAAAATAAAAAGTAGCACAATAGGTTTGTCATATTAAAATATACCTGGTCAATGGAAGTTGTTCCCCTTGAGGGACGATAGGGTCAACCTCAACCTGGCCGGCCCAGACCCAACCCAATGTTGAAACGCTTATCTCTAGATAATCCAGGCTTTTTCACTGTGCTTATTCAGGAGTAAGGACAGGAACGATGAGAAATACTATAGGTATAAATGTATAATCTAAAGTCTTAACCAGTAAGGACAGGAACCATGAGGAGAAATACTACAGGTATAATCTAAAATCTAAACCAGTTGGATGGAGGGATTCTCAGACAGTGACCAACTGCTTGAGAGAGTGGGAGTTACCCTTAGAGGAAAAAATCGTACTCCGCTGAATCAAAATTCAAGAATTTACAAGTGAATCAGTGATCCCTGACGCTTACAGAAGTGGGTCTGTGGACTGCTTTATCTTGTGGCTTTGCTCTGCCAACAGCCAAGCCATAATTATTTTCTGTAAAGTCGGAATTACAAGGAAGTGGTGTTATCAACCCTATTTATCTAGGGATGTTTGGAAGTGTGACTTTTTTCTTTAAAATGGTACCACGTTGGATCCACGTAGGCAATTCAACAAACACCCACATGCATGATTATTTAGTTCAAGCGTTTTTTGAAAAAATGCTGAAAAACAGGTATGCCTCATAAATCAGGACGCAACCGTTGCCCCCAACGGTTGACTGATATGGCAAATACGTGGCAGAAAAACGGTGATGAAAATCACCTTACCAAACAGAATAATGTTGCTCACTGCCTACGTGGCAGTGAAAAAACGGGTCTAACAAGCATTGACCTTTTTTTGTTTTTTTTTTTTTTTTTGAAAATCAATCCCAAAAAGTGGCCACGCTTCCAAACACCATACTAATTAATAAAACTCCTTGGTTGTTGGTGATACAAGGGCTACAGGGCCACAGCACATGATTCTCATACCAGATCAAACCAAAAAGTCTGTTTCTCTGTTTATACTGCTTCTGTTTCCTGGGTTCTGTTCAATGTTGCTACTGCTTTCCGAGTCAGTCATTTCATTTTGTAATTTCACTCCAAGCCCCAAGGCTACAAACCTTAGGCTGTGTTTGTTTGCAATGCAAATTTGAATTAAATACAAATTTTGCACTAGGTTCAGTTTTGCATTCGAGTTGTGGACTTGTGGCTATGATTTGTACTCTTACTTGATGTGAATGTTTGCAATGCAACATTTACACTTCATCCTACCTTAATTATCTCTTCTCATGTTGAGTGAGGACTACATCAATTTGCCTCCTACCTTACTACCCCCATACTAATAACCTTTCGCCTCATTCCTCTTTCATATAAATTGGGGACCACATCATTTTACTTGACAAACTGAACAAGGCCTGAACTCTGAAGCAAAAGTTAACCAGGATTTACACTCGGTCCATTTGCACTCCTATGCATTTACACCAGTGCAAATGAAATTTGCAGTGCAACCAAATGAAGCCTTATGCACGAGTAAAGGAAAATGACTACCCTGATCTGATAAAGTGTGCAAATTAGAGAAATCAATCAAGGAAGCAAAGACGGTATAGTGATTCCTATTATATCAAACCACAATTACGCACAACAAAAGCATATGAGACCTCAAAAGCCAATTTCTACTCATTCAGTTTTGATTTAACAATATGAGAGCAGATGAGTATATTGCCTTTAAAATTTGGAGAAGGCAACTCCAAAAGCTCGAAGTTTGGAGTAACCACAAGATAAAGCTCAAATTCCTGAATTACACTCCCAGCCCTACCCCAAAAACCATACAGGAAAAAAGATGAAAAGATGTAAAGGAAAGAAAGAGAATGAAAAGATGGCCATTCCCTTTCATCAATTATTACTGAGAAAAAAAAAATTCAAATACCGCTACACAACATGGAGTTATGCTGCCTTCTTGCAGTGCTTCTCAAGCCATTCCATCGTAACACTTTTTGGCCTTTCAAGCGGCAAGCCAAGGGCCCGATCCCATATAATCTGAAGCAGAAAACAACAACTCAGACAAACTCGACTAAGGAATAATAGATAATCAGGAGCGAAAGGGGAGAAGAATAACCTGAGAGCAGATTCCAATGCTTCTTGAGACACCGAAAAGAACAGTATAATACCTGCGCAAAATGTGCAAGATATCATAAACATTGATATTAAGATAGTACTCAAATAGCTTTGGGATCAGCTAGTGGTGAAAAATTAGAATTAATGCCCTCTATATATAAATAAGATACAATATACTATAAACATAACATGGGAGTAGCTTTACTAGTCAAATCATTTTTACAGCGTATGATCATGTTTCAAATAAACGCTGCTTCTTTTTCTGTTTTAGGAAGAAACAATATGATAACATGGGAGTTGCTCCATTGCAACCTGGGTGACCAGGGTTCAAATCTTGGAAACAGCCTCTCTATATGTGCAGGGTAATGCTGCGTACATCTGTCCCTCCCCAGACCTTGCATTGGAGGGAGCCTATGCAGTATGCACTGGGATGCCCCTTTAGTAGGAAACAATAGTTCAACTTCCCTAACAACATAAGAATCTTCCATGCAGCAATTTCCTTTAGGCTGCATTTGGAAACAATGCAAATGGAGTGTAAATCCCGGTTCGGAGTAAATTTGCACTCTGGTTCACTTTTGCCTGTGTTTGGCAACATGACATTTATGCATTGACAAATGACAGACCAATGCATATTTACCTTGATAATAAGATGTAAAAGTACATCAATAAAAAAGAAGTAAATTTGCATTCAAGTGGGCTTTTGATAAAAAAAAAAAGCATATGCTTTATTGGAATTCATGTTTGCATCCATTACAGCTAAAAGTCTGTTTGGTAAGAAGGTAAATCTGTCAGTGCAAAACTAACCCAACTTTGCAATTTATATGAACCGTTTTACACTCTACATATTTGCATTCACACTTATTTGCATCATTTCCAAATGCAGCCTTGAGGGCCACAAGGAGTCAACTTATTCGTTTCATCATCCTTTATTCCTAGGATAAGTTTCAGATGAAAAACCTTGCCAAGTATTCAAAAGCATATGCATCTTTTAAATTTAAAACAAAATTGAACTTCAAATGGCTAGTTTAGTCCCAAAAAAATAACAAAACAAAACTTCAATTTAAGGTAAAGGGCTCATGCAGACCACAGGATTGAATACATGGACAATCTGAAGGAGCCCTCCCTCTGATGGTGATATGGATTGACCACAGGATTACTCCATGTGGGAAAAAGATTCCCTAATTGACCCAATTAGGGAATCCTTTCCATACAATAGTGGTAATATAGTAGTATAATACAAGGGAAAAATCTAAGGTCTAAGCAACCCAGTAACCTTTCACATAGTAACTTGTCTTCTATAGTAGTATAGTACAATGCTTTAAAGAAGTCCCACAAAAACTTTTATTGGTGATATTCTTTTGCAATTGAGAAGGATGCTGAGAGAAAAATACCGATGGGTCAAGGTCTGACACTGAAGAGGTTGTGTGGCAATGCAAGAAATGATGATGTTGTTGGGGAGGTGATGAGGATCATTTTGCATGAGGTTCACCAGATTAAGAAGTCATAACTGGTAGGGTAAGTAGTAGATAGGAGAGTGTGGGTGACCAAATCATTAGGTCTGTTCTTCCCAATCAAGAATCATTTGCTAGAGAGGAATTTAGGAGGTTAGAAAAGGACGATGCAAAGTAATTGACATAGAGATCTCCTTGGAGCTCTGATTAGGAAGAACAGCATGATCTATAATGAGGTTGATAAACTCTTGGTTTGGGATGATGCAGAGCCAAGCACCAGGAGCAAAGGGTCCAAACTCCAAAGCAGGGGTAGTAAGAAACTTGAAGGGGTTATGGTGATAAGCATGAGAGGTAGAGGAATATATGGGGAAGCCAAGAAGTGCCAAGGAAGTTAGCTTAGAATTTTTTTGGTTGGCATATAGTGGTTACTTCAGTGTTGTGGTGTGTGAATTATTAGCGGTTTCTATAGCTGACACTTTTTTGTTGTTAGTTTGATATTGTCAGAGTGCTATTTCTCTCCTGAGTTTCCTGTCATTTTACAGTTGGTTTTTGTGTTGAGAGGACTTCTATTGTATAGTTGGGGCAGGGCTGGTCCATGTTGAGCTATAGCTTCTGCCTGCTGTCCTTTTTCCTTTGTTAGGGACTCTGGTGGCCTATGTATTTCTTGTACACACTTCCTTTGTTTAATGCATTTTAATTTATTATCTAAAAATTATGTGAAGATTAGGATTTAATTTATTGAATAATGCAAATGTAAAATATAATGCTGAGGTTGAAGGAATGGTGTATGGTTAAGCTATTAAACAGAAAGAAATTTTCCTCCATAGATAACTATCTATATTGAACTCTTGTTTTTGCAGATACCTGTGTGCTTGTCTTTTCTTTATCAGTAACGATATCAGAATATTATATTTGTACAAAAACAATATCACAATATTATTTTTTATTTTTGATAATTAACAATATCAGAATATTATTGTTATTAGAAACAATAACACTGTACATGGCAGAGGTGCTCTGCAACAAGAACAAATGAAGAGTAGCACCTTAGTCAACAGATAAGCCCTCTATCACTCCATATCCCCATTACAGCCCCATTGCAACAGATATATTGAATCCTTATAGACTTTGAACTGCATTAGCAGAATTAAGAACACATAGAAAGGCGCAATTGAATCTCAAAACAAAGTGTCTAGCCTCTCAAGTAGGATGTCTCAGGACCCAAGGTCCATTTCCTCTACTCATGATCACCTTACATTTACAATAACCTGCATTCCAACAGCATGGACAATCTCAGTCCTGCATGCAAGGGTTGGAGCTTAGCTCCCACTAAATTTCCCAATCCTATGTCCCCAAATATGTCAGAACAATATTTCTCTAATGGTTTTTTAATGAACCACCTCTTCCATGTTTGGTCATCTTTTCTTAGCTTCCTACTTGTATTTGTTTCTTATTGCATCAAATGTCCCAATAAAGAGATGCCAATCCTAGTTCTGGTCGATATTATTTTATGATGAATACTTCAGATTGCAACACTATTGAAGATCCTAAATAGTCAATTCCCTCGCCTTGTTGTCTAAATAACACCTAGCAATTTACTTTGAACTTTTTTATTTCTTGATGCTGAACTCTAGATGGAAGTCTTATTTGATTACCATAAAAATCATTTCCACTGAATTCATGGTTTTAGAGATTGAAGTCTTCTCTAATAGTCTTAAATCCTTTTATTTCATTTTTCTTTTTACATTTTTCCCTAAATATTCTTAGACCCGAATCTTTAGGGTAACAAAAATAGTTTGGTTTGTAGTGGATGTCTCTAGTTCCTCATTTCCAAATTGCTGGAGTTTCTTTTTGTTCTCTCTTTAGTACTTTTTTTGCATTTGTATTTATCTTTGCTTTGTTATTGCACATCCAAAATTCATATATAAATATAGAGGGGGATGGGGCAGGGGGGGTGGGGAGGGGAGAGAGAGAGAGAGAGAGAGAGAGAGAGAGAGAGAGAGAGAGGAGAGACCTACATCTTAGTCTAAGGATCTCTAAATCTCAAAAAGAAAAAAGTAAAAAAGTGGGGTTCTTCTATAATATGAAACTTTCATACACATGCTAGTTGAGTCATTCCCTTCAATTTTTGGTGTGAATTAAAGTGGGTGTCTTTTCCATAGGGATGGAAGTGGGGGTCAACAATCTGATGAAAAAAAAAATTAAAGCTAAGTACCATTTTGCAACATGTAAAAGCTAAGAAAGGATACAACTCTATACCTTGCTTCAGTTAACCCAAAATGGTTCAACAGCACACCACTGTGAGCATCAACATTGGGCCAGGGATTCTTAACCTAAAACAATTTGCAATATTCAGGACAAAATTCATGTCAGATCTATATTTGGATAGCTCACGAAATAGAGTTACAATAGAAAAATAATCTAGATGAAAACAATTACACTAAAGCAGTAAAAAGAAAAAGCTCAATGTGATACCAGAAACCAAGATACAAAAGACTAGCCCAGAAAGCTCTGCTCTAACATATAAGCTATATCAGCATTCAGCACTATGTTTGTCCAACATGGGATAGTCATCCAACATTCACTATTGTCCTTTCTCACTTTTTCTATGTTTTAGTAACAAAACAGGGGATTTAAGCTTGTATCTTTTAATTTATGAACAAAATCATATAGACCTAAATACATTCCAAGTCATGCTCTTGCCTCCTTGGTAGTAGGAATTGACAAGGCTTTAACATTCAGGAGAAAAAATTCCAAACATATGGAAAAGCACATGCTTCCCTTTGAACTGTTTTCAAAGTAAACAAATTACCTTGCCTAGCTGAGTGAGTATGGGAGGCACAACTTCATAAAGCTTGGAAACCTAAAAATATGAAAAACTCAACTTAGTTCACCAATAAATAAGATAAAACACATAGAATGGGTGCGCCTTAAAAGTTACACCCTTGTCTGGTAACGAGGAGCCAAGTAATAACCAGCTGGAACAGTGGATCATCAGGCAAGTGCTTCAATGCAAACTCCCTCTGGCATGTGTATCTTGGATCTGTTTTACGCAGAACTCCATGCCCATACCCAGGAACAACCTGCATATTAGATGCAAAGAATAAGAAAATAAAGATGAAAATGTAATAATAGGACTCAGAGAGGTCACTCCAACTTATGCCATATGTCACATGTTTTTATTGAAAAGAATAGTTTAGCTTCTTTTTAGAAAATTGTTCAAAATTCAAAGTAGGAGATAGCTCTAGAGTTCATTTTCAGGAACGTTGTAGCCAGTATTTTGAAAACCGGACTGGACCGGATGGTTGGACCGGAAAACCGGGAACTGATCACCTGATCGGTTCCGTTTCACCCCAAAACCGCTTTTTTGGCCAAAAACCGTTGATTTGGTCAGCAAACCGCTGACCCAGGTGGTCAAACCGTCAAATCGGACAATGGTTTTTGCCCTTTTTTTATTTTTTTATTTTTTTGTCAGAGCAGGCCGTCGGTTCAGTCCGAACAGTCAGACCGTTCAACCTGAGAACTGGACCCCAGAATGGTTCCTTGTCCGGTCCGGTTTTAAAAACCTTGGTTGAAACTTGCAACATGTGCATGCTTTGTGACATATGGCCTAACCTATATCTCCAAAAGACAGTACTATGAATCAATATTACAAAATCAGGAATGAGCAGGTTGTATGGTGCCCTATTTTCAGAAGAACATTTCGACAGAGATCAAAAAATGTGCTTTGGTGTTCAATGAATCGAAATCACCAAACATATTGCCTTCATCTACAAACAAAGATGGTGGAACAGATATTCTAATGGATGTTTCTTGGTGAAGCCACTTTATGATGCAACTACCATAAATCAGGTGGAAACTTCTCAGAATCAAGGTGTTTGAGGTAATCCAGTTCCACTGTGTGTTGAAGTTTTTGCATGGTTATGTCCTTGGACAGCATTCTGACCGTTGATTTGTAAATAGATGACTCAGAATTACTAGCCTTGTTTTATGTGAAACAAACATGAAAATGTTAGATAATTATTCAGCCACTGCAGGACTGCAAGTTTTTGCATGGTTATGTCCTTGGACAGCATTCTGACCATTGATTTGTAAATAGATGACTCAGAATTACTAGCCTTGTTTTATGTGAAACAAACATGAAAATGTTAGATAATTATTCAGCCACTGCAGGACTGCAGCTTTTTATTTGGGCTACCCCCCCCCCCCCAAAGCACTTCATAGTCCACTAGGACGGGAAGAGATCCTACCAACTTAGGATCTGGTGGTGGGTTTTGTGGGGGTAAATGAGGGCTCTGGGTGATTGGAGATGAAGGATATGAATGGAGAAACAATCCGAATGCTGTTACCAAAGAATGTCATCAAATCACTCTCTTTGAACTCCAATTACAATGACTCATTTATAAGACTCAACTTACTAACTCAGCTGTCCCATTTCAGACTCCAGTTTGGACTAGGAAATTGACCCAAAAACAAATACTACTAATTGCTTTAGAACCAAGAGTAAGCCATTGCGACACGTAAATAAAGACTCCAACTCCTAAACAAATCTAATAACAATTTCCTAATCCAATTAAAACTACTTTAATTTAAAGACATCAGAAATTTCTAAAAATAGTAAACAGCGACTTCACTAAAAATAGTAATTATAAGTTTACAACAATTACTATAAATAGTAATTCCGAGAGTTACCAAAAATAGTAATTCCGAAATAGCAATAAAAATATAAAAAACAGAACCCTATTGTGTTCTTTTTTGTGTTCCTAGGTCATGCAACTTAGCAGATGGTTCAGCTAAGGCAGGACAGGAGTAATGCTAGAGCTGTAACAATTACTATTATTGGCCCTTATAAACATAAAAATGTCTTGATTCTTGAAAAATATGTTATTTTATGAAATTTGTGCGAAGGATATACACAGTTAATACATTTCTATATATTAGTTTGTATTTGAAAAAATATTATTTTATGGATTGACCATATAGATGACAAAATTCAAAGACCACTCAGAGTCCTGGTTCATATATTGCACACAGGACCTATCTTGTATGTTTCCATCTAATAAGAAATAAAAAGGAAGATAGTACATATAAAATTAATTTCTTCAAATAAAAACCCTACATGGGAAAATTATTATCAGCATCATTATCTTCCGTTGTCTATGGTAAACTAGGTTCACAGGGTCTTGGGCTGGTTGTCAGTTGCGGGGCTAGAGACACTTCAAGGTCTCCAAGCCAAGTGTGTCTCTGGATGTTAGATCCATACGCCAATAAGACACAATAATGAAATACCTATTGCAATTTGAATTGAGCACAATTATGGCCCATCCAGAACACAGTTCCAAGCACATATCGGGCTGGGCAACAGCAATATTATCACATTCACATCCCCCCAAGGGCTTGGCCAGTTAGAGCTGCCGACCAATGCTGTAGTCTGCTAACAAGATCCTTGAGAAAACCCAAATGGCTTATTTTATTACAAAACCAGCTTCTTTCTGGACTTGTCTTGAGATTAATAATTAAAGATGGAGGAACAGGATTTATCATTAATGATGACAATCATGATAATCAGTGCTGTTAGTTAAATTAATTTAACATATCCAAAGTCACATATTAAGTTGTACTTTAATTGAAGTTCATATACAACATAATTTCATCTAGAAAGAAAAAATGAATACTTGAGTGATGAATCTATTGGTGCATTATTGAGTACAAGTAACCCTCATTAGATCTGTGAGGGCTAAGTTTATAGGGTTAGTCTTTTATTTCTAATAATGAATAAATATGGATGAAAATATCTCATGATTTCAAAGATAAAAAACCATGGTCGGTTCAGTAATAGTACTCAGAAAAGGATACATTGCACATGTCCCCAAAAGAAAGAACATCAATTCATGTGTTGACTTTTTCAGAGGTGCACACTGAGGTTAGTAGCATTAATGTGCTTAGCTAAGTTTACCTTGGTAATGGATCAAATACATCTGTAGAACAGAAGTGTCATATTTCATACCTTGCCGCTATTTAATGTTTTCCAGACGTAATCCTTTAACTGGTCAGTGGTTATGTTTTCCCCACATTCATCTACAACAGATTTGATCCATAGTAAAACTTCCTGCAACCAAATTATAGTGAAGGTTTGAAACTGCTGGCTATGAAAGTCAAAATCAGAAAGGCCTGTAGAACCCAATAGCTTGGTGAAAATTATATCAGAGGGGAATGTAACATGAAACACCACATCAAACAATATAATGCCTCAGGTAGGAAGAGTCCTACTTGATTAATACTAAGGCCAAAAAGTACAGTATTTCATCACCAAACAACTACCCACAAAAAACTCATGAAGTAGCAAGCCTTCCACACTGAATCTAGCAACCAGGGGAGGAAGGATAAAGGTGTACAACTAACTTGCCAATCCAAAATTAAAACCTAGCTGTCATTTTCATACCACTAGTATAGTCCATCAATCATCAAAACATGTCCAAATTCATGTTCCTGGGCTTGTTAAATAGCTACTTAAAATGAATTCCAATGATATCAAATTATAAAAATGTTTATGTTTTGGCATAGAAAATTTAGTAACACAAGGACAAATTCAAGGTTGTCTTCAATTTTGGATGGCATTGAGGTGCACCTAACAATTTGACTATAGACTGCTTTCAGGATTACCATTCAGCATATATAATCCAGAAGCCACAAACTAGTATTACAACAGTGAAACTTTTTTGTTTACAAGAAAAAAAAAAACAGAGAATCTTATTTTGCGAACTACACAATAAACAACTATCAAACATGTTCATCAGTTTTAAAGAAAGTCACAATTAGAACACATAATAAAGGATTACAGCCTTGGGATTCTTTAAGGGAAACTAATATTGATTTTTTTGAAAGGTAACGTAATTTTATTGAAACAGAAAAAAAGATACAACAGGGCCCTCACCAAAGGAGGGCTAGTCCAGAAATAAAACAGAACACAGACTCCACACAGAGACCAACTCAAATTACAGACTCCAAAGGGACTGAGAACTAAGCAGCTGAAGCACATTCAGGTGCTTAATTTCAGGATTAGCAGCCACCCAAGAGATCAGCTTACTCACAGCCCTTGCACTAACTCATTTGTGCTTTTAAACTTGTTACAGAAGACTCTGTTGTTTCTTTCCAGAGAATAGCAGATGGAATAGTTTTCCACACCAACATTCCTTTCTCCTTAAGACCCCCCATCTTCCAACAGCACAACAAATCTTTAACCGTACTCGGCATAACCCAGCTGATTCCCACAGCTTTCAGAAAGTGCTCCCACACCTGAGAGGAGATTGGACAGTGAAGACAAAGATGATCTGTAGATTCCCGCTGAGACCCACAAAGCCCAAAAGACACTTATCTAGAGCCATTGTCCAAACCAGAAAATTAGATTTTGAAGGACTGACCAGATTCCAGATTTCAATAGATGTAGTCTTGGCAATCCAGAAGCCTCTGGCATTGGGACGCTATTAGAGATGATAATAGCAAGTTAGCAACATTCTTCTCAGTTTCTCAGGGCCAGTGTGTTTTGGCAACTCAGAGAGAGAGCAGAAATCTAGTCTTTCAAAAGGCATACAGCTAGCTTCTACACCCAGATGGAGAGAATTAATTGAAGGGGACAATCAGGTGGTCATCAGCTGGCTGGGGTCAGAGAAAGAAGTACATTGGATTTTCAAATTCTTGCTTAGAGAAACAACAATTAAGGCTGAGGAGCTGCATTAGTCAGAACAGAAGTTAAGAGGGATACTATTGTATGGGAAATGCCGGGAGGCCCGGAACTTCAGTCTGTTCATAATAGAGTAGATTTTGTTCTTCTTTCAGCATTAGTCAGCATATCACTGCTGTATTTTACACTACCAATCGGTTTTTTGTTAAGTAAATCACTTTTTCTGCAATAATATTGATATACTTTTGCTTATCAAAAAATAATAATAACACTTAACCATTTATGGAAAATTGTAAAATTTCTTCTCTAAATAGCATAAGGTTTAATCAATCCCAATAAGAAAAAAGAAGAATAAATATGGCTTAAGAAACCAAGAAAAAGAAGAGAAGTACTCCAGAATATAATACCTGATTGGCCAAGCCATGGAGAGGCCCAGCTAAACCATTTAATGCAGCTGCAAATGAAAGGTAAGGATCTGAAAGGGCACTACCAACCTACAAATTCAACAAAGCACACAAGTAAATAGAGTGATAATGTATGCAAAGGTGCTAAGAGGACTAAAATTCAAAAGATTGTCATAATGTATTCAGAATATGCAAATGGATGGACATAAACAAAGACTAGCTTCTGACTACTAATTTTCTAGCTCTTGTGGCCTAATAACATTCACAAGTGTCTACACTATGACATATTAGAAACAGAAGGATTAATTAATGGGAAGACAAAAATCAAATCAGGGACCACTTACAAGATGAGCAGTATGTGCACTAACGTTTCCACCTTCATGGTCACTGCAGCACATAGCAATTGTCTAGCATTAAATAATAAAAAATTGAAATGGTAAAACCTTTACATAGCAATTGAGAAAAAGGAAAAAAACTGTAAAAGAGGACCTTTATGTGGATATTACAGAAACCAACCTATGGATGGTGACATATAGTCTCATCAGCTCTTGCATTTTGGGATCATCAAACCCAAGCATGTGAGAAAAGTTCCCACCATAATCCAAAGAATGATCCACGGGTATAACTTTCCCATCCTTGTAAGCTCTACAAAATCACAAGAAAAAAAAATCAAAATATAGTTATGACATATTCATTTAGTATTTTTTTTTATCAATAACAATAAGCTTTATTAAAGATGTGAAGCTTTAATTACAAGAGAAGGGGAGGTAAAATGTCTTAACTCCCCACCAGCATATTACAAAGAAAGAGGAATTAGAAATTAGCCTATAACAAAGAATCCCTATTCACCCCTTGCTTGGTTAACCCATCAGCAATTGAGTTAGCAGTTCTTTTCACCAAACTGTATTTCTCCCCAATGTCCCTAGTAAGCCATTTGAATTTTTTCCTTTCATTGCTGTAGCTCCACATGCCATTGTTGTCTTCCTTTAGCCATCTAACCACCACCTCCGAGTCACCTTCAAGGACCAATCTTCTGATGTTCAACTCTCTTGCTCTTTGCATTCCTTCCAAAGCTGCAAAGCTCAGCCCTAAGAGAGTCACCTCCAATTGGGCCTGAAAACATGGCAAGAATAATCCCCTTCCTCATTCTTGAACACTCCCCCAATCCCAGAAGGCTCTGGATTCCTTATGCTACTACCATCAAAATCCAGTTTTATGAATCTGAAGGGTGGAGAGGTCCAAGAGGGCTAGGAGTCCACTTAATTTGGGCAGAGTTGGCTATCTCTATCCAATTTCTCAGCAAGTCAAACATGGAAAAATCTGTGAATAGATCCAAAGATGTCAGTCAGTGGGCCACCCTTAAATGTATCAGTTCTAATAATTTTTCAATGGTTCTTTCCTTGTCTGAAAAAATTCGTGAGTTTCATTCTTCCCATAAAGACCAACACACTGCTGCCCTAATGCTTCCCCACATAACCCTCCCTCTTTTCTTAGGCTAGATGAAATAAGGAGAACAAGATTTGCATATTCAAAGGGAGATTCCAATTACACCCAAAAAGGGAGAAAACCCACTCCCAAATAGTTTTAGCAAACAGGCAAGTAACCATAAGGTGGTAACCAGTTTCCCCATCAATTTTGTAGAGAGTACCCCTATCCCGGGATAAACAAGAATTGGGTCTCTTTCCTTGAAGCAGGTCATTTGTGTTTATTCTTTCCAGGAAAGTTTCCTAGCAAAAACTACCAACCCGAGGAGGAATGGGCTTGCCCCAAATCTCTTTAACAAGGAAGGACAACCCAGGAGAGACAGGAGGTTAAATTAGGGTTTCAAAGAACGATGCACAAGTGCCTAAGGAGAAAGGGGTCCAAATTTTGATGTCTTCCTTAATGAGGGTTCAAGATAACATTTCCAATGATGGCTAATGGAGTCAAAATGCAACCCAAATCTGTATCCTTAATGGCCCTTTTCAAGCCCAGGTTCCACCCAAAACCAAAAGTAGAGTATGAAGGAACTAGGAAAGAAGAGATGGGTTCATTTTTCAAATCTAACAGAGCATACAAAGAGGGAAACTGGTCCATCAAAGGGGAATCACCAACCCAAGTTTGCTCCCAAAACTATTTTAGGTTATCTGAGTTCAATCCATACCTGATCCAAGGAGAGAATATTGGAAGTAGATCATGGATGGCTCTCCATGGAGAAGCAACAATAGCCCTTGCCAGAATGCTAGCCACTATCTTCATCTACAATTTGTCCTTTTTCAAAGGAAACCTCCACAACCACATCCCGAGCAAATCCATGTTTCTTTTCCTAATATTCCCAATCTCAAGACCTCCTAGCTTCTTACATCTAGTTTCCACCTCTCAACTCACCCTATGGTCCCTCTTCTCTTATCCTGGCTCCCACAAGAAATCCCTTAGTAACATTTCCAAATTGCTAGAGACCTTTGTGGGGATCTAAAACACCGATAGTCTAACAGGAAGTAAACAGGTAAGTAAGCTAGGGCAGACCTTTGTGGGGATCTAACTCACCCTATGGTCCCTCCCCCTAAGGAAAGATAATTTTTCCTCCAAGAAGCATGTCTTTTCTCAAATCTTTCCACCACCGGGTTCCAAAAGCTTTCTTTCTTGGATTATCTCTGTAGAGAACACTGATGTGGGCCCCACAGCTGTGGTCCCACTCTGTCCGTAGGGTAGAATGTATCTAGTCATAGCTGATGGTCAATCTGTTATTCTGTTATTCTAGTTGTTATTTACTTTTCAGTTTTATATTATGTGTTATGATGTAAACACCAAGGGCAGATGTGTCCTTTCATGTAACTAGCATAACATATAAATATTAAATTGAAGTGGCGGCAGCAGAATATTGAGATTCTGTCCTTCCTTTCAAAGCCTGTGTTCTACTGCTCTCTCACTACTCTTTCTCCTCTTTCTTCTTCACTTTATCTTCTTTTCAACCTGAAGTTTCTTAGTGATCAAGACTGATAGCAGTCTTGAACACCTACAATCTCCTAAAGGGAGGCCTAAGTAATTCGAAGGCCAATCCAAGATTGCACAGCCTAATACACCTGCATATTCTCTTCATTCCCTCACCTCCAAGTTCACTCCCACTATACAACTCTTTTTTTTTTATCAGTAAATTGTAAGATATATTAATAGCCAAAGATGGTACATTTTAGGGAGAGGCACGAGATGCTACCTCCCCTTTAACAAAGGACAAAGAAAATTACAAAGAAGCCCAATACAAGGAGACCCGAGTAGCCGCTTGTTTAGCAAGATAATCAGGCAAGGCATTAGCCGATCTACCCAACCACTGAAATCTGACTGTCATGTCCCTCAATAGCCATTTGACCTTTTTTAAGATATCCTTAAATTCCTAAGTGCCAGTACCCGGGTCAGCCAGCCATCCTACTACCACCTTGGAATCTCCAATTATTAAGTTCTGCACTCCAAGTTGATAAGCAATCTGTATCCCTTGTGCTGCAGCTAGGAGTTCAGCCCTCACAAAGTCTCCTATTCCCACCGGTCCCGAAAAAAGGGCAATGATATTGCTGTTCTCATTTCTAAGTACACCACCAATCCCAGACGTCCCTGGGTTACCCTGGCTACTTCTGTCAAAGTTCAGCTTAACAAAACCCTCCATCAGTGGAGTCCAAGATACTTGAACTCTAGGCTTCCTAGAGGAGGTATGGGCAACTACAGATCAATTCCTCATTAAATCATCAAAGGAGTAATTATCAAAGAGCTTTAAGGACTTCTTTTTATCTCCTTAATGAAATGAAATTATGCACTTATCGATCAAAAAAATTAAGTCTTTTAGGCAGAACGTTCTCATACCTAGCCTTACATATTGATGCAATATCATCACTTTTGGAAGAAAGACGGAGGGAAAAATGAATAAAATAAAATATGAAAGGAAATTCCTGGTATCATAATAAAGGATCATATCCCATGCAGGTAGATGCTTGTTGACCAGTAAGATCATTAGAAAAGAGATAATCATTTTGTGTATCCCTTGAACCAAAGGAAGTTCATTTTGGTACATTTTTTTATTGCTAACACCCAAATTCTTTTATTGATGATAGCATTATTGCTACTCCTACACATTAGACACACTGAATGGCATGGAAAAACGTGATATTTAAGAATAGCTACTCCCAGACACAAATCACTTAGATATTAGTCCTCCCAAATGATCGTCCAATGGCATATTACTTATCTGAGGAGAATGTTCAATGAGGTAACAATAAGATTTACTGACCTTCGATAAACATAAGCAGCTATAAGTGGAACTTTAGCAATCAAATTGAGAGAGTCCTCGTAAGTAGGCTCCCAGAATCTAAAAAAAAAAAAATAACATGTAAGAATAGATGCATTACTCAAAGGAGAAGATAGAGAAAAAAAAGACCATTAGCAAAATCTTACTTTGACTTTGAAACCCCTTTCTCATATGCCTTCTGAAATTCACTGTGAACCTGAAAGCAGATATTGTTAAAGTGACTTAAACAGCAATAAAAAAGACATTTTTATTACCAAGAAATCAGAGAATTTATTTAATGGTGAGACAATGAGTACAAGCAGAATATAAAATTAAAGCCATTCAATTTTTTTATCAGAAGAAAATATATTTATTTTATTAGATTTAATTAAAGTAGTTAGTACAACTTGATGACAGGAATGTCATCCTCAACTTTCAAACCCAAGTTACATAGAAGCCCAAAATAGTCGCTGCCTCATAACCCCTTGTTTGGCAAGGGAATCAGCCAAGCCATTTGCATTACTTCTAACCCACTTAAATTCAGCCTTTATATCCTTAACAATCTTTTCCACTTCCCTTATCACATGTTTAAGAGTCTAAGGAGTATTAACATTCTACCTAGCGCTGCTTATCTGCTGAGACCCTTACAGGCTAATGAGTCAGCAAGCGTATTAGCAGACCTAGGTACCCATGAGAAAGATGCATCCAACCCAATTTGGTTTCTCAGATTCCATGGCCCAGCCATGTCACCCATCAGCCATGATGCAATAGGCTCTGAATCCCCAACTACCAATACTTCACAAAATCCACGAGTAGCAACAGCCTAACTGTAATTACAACTTCGAAAACATGCATAGAGTAAGATAATGAACAAAGCATCTCAGATAACAATACAAAAGCAGTCTTGGAAGTTTATATTTCAACCTGAAGTCCCATAACACCTGTAGCGAATTGAGTCATAGGATGAGCAGTCACAGGAAGAGCGTCAATGACCTTATATACATGATCTGCAACATGAATTGACAAATCCTCAATAACACAAAAATTTTACAATTAAACTTCTAACTAGACATCCTAATGGAAGAATAAACACATAAATTTTATAACCAAGTACTAATTGATTACAATAATGCTGCTTTTAAACCATAAGCTTAACTTCCACTTGAAAAAAATAAATAGTTAACAGCAAGGGAAGCAAATTTTCAATTAGAGCTAAACGCTAGCAATGTGTGACTATCACCTCATTTCTACCTACCCTCCAGCCTCTAAGTACCCTCTCCAGGTCAGCCTTAATAATCATCATGCTTAAAACATCTGCTACTAAAGTGATGAGGAAAGGGAATAAGAGATCTCCCTATCTCAATCCCCGTTTGGCTGGAAAGAAATCTCTAGCCACTAAATTTATTAGAATTGAATAATGCATTGAATTTAAGCAGCCTCTGATCAATTCTCTCCACCTTTCACCTACCCCAATCTTCTCTAATATTTCAAGGATGAAAGACCAATCTACAAGATCGTATGCCTTCTCTAAATCCAGTTTGCAAATTAAGCCTTTTTCTTTCATTCTCCTTCTCTACTATACACTCATTTGCCACCAAGATTTGATGAATGATCCGTCTCCCTTCAACAAAAGCTCCTTGGAATTGTGAAATTACCAAAGGCAACACTTTTTACTAGGCTTATTAGTCTAAAATCCATAGGCATGTTGACTACCCTCTTTTTGGGGATCAAAGCAATAAAGGTTGAATTTGCTCCTCAAGAGATTTCCCCTTCATGATAGAACTCATTAAACACTTCCACTATGTCAAATTTAAACTTCTCAACAATCTTGATAAAAAGCCATGGAGAAACCATTCTGGTCCCAGGGCTTTAGATCTTTCCATCGAAAATACTCTCTTTGATTTCCTTCATTTTAAACAAATTTTCCAGGTTTGTAGAGAGATCCTCTAGCACCTTTTCCCAAGACAAGTTAGGAAGGTTTAAGTTTCATACACTTGAGGTAGCAGAAAAGGCCTTAAAACGTGCACAAGAACTATGATTATCTCCTCCTCCCTTGTTATCTCTTGACCATCCACTTCTAGTTATTAGGTTCTTCTTCCACTAGCTAGAGAGTGCAAAATTTTTGTGTTGCCCTTTCCTTCTATCAACCATTTACAGCTAGATTTTTGCCTCCAAGAAATTTCCTCTTTTCTTAACAATTCTTCCAGATCAAGTAATTTCCTTGTTGTCCAACTCCACAATCCTTAAAGAAATATTCTTCTTTGTTTCCTCTACTCTCCCAAACAGATTTTTGTTCTGAGTCCAAATTTTCTCTTTCAACTTTTTTAAGCATCTAGAGAATCTTAACCCCTTCTTTGTACCATCACCCTTTTTTTATCAATAACAACAGATTTCATTAAATAGTAATAGGGTTACAAAAAAGGGGAGCTAAAGTATCTTAACTCCCCATGGAAAGGATAAGTCCCAAGCTGAAAAAGAACAAAACAATTACAACTGAGCCCAGAACCCAGAAATCCTATTCACTCCTTGCCTAGCCAGGCCATCAGCAAACAAGTTTGCACTTCTCTTAACCCAATTACACTGAACTACCATATTCCTAGACAACCATTTGAATTTTTTCTTCTCATTAATGTAACTCCAGAGCTTAGAATTGTCTTCTTTCAACCAGTTCACTACCACCACAGAATCTCCCTCTACAATCAGCTTCTTGACCTTTAGGTCTTTAGCCCTTTGTACCCCTTCCAAGGCTGCTAACACCTCGGCCCTCAACGAATCCCCCACTCCAATTGAGCTAGAGAATATAGCTGTTATATTACCATTCTCATCTCGTAAAACCCCCCAATACCCAAGG